GCCGGACTTCTCCAATCATTTAGCTCCCCCACAACTGACTGCAAGCTTGCATGCAACACCCACATCTCAAAATCCATTCATCAACCTTATATTTTTTATTTTCCTTATAATCAGATACATGTACATCACAATATGAAAGAAAAGATCTGTCGCTACTTGTGTTTCGTCCTTTAAAACACATGTTGGAAAGAACTACTATGCTAATTGGATACTTATACGTGTCAGTTTATCGTCATCAGCCAGAATTCTCACATCGATGCAACCCAAAAAATTATTTACCAGGTCAAGGGGGCAAAATTGATCGATTAGATTGAAATAAAACTGATAATAGGAATAATAATCACCAACTCTCAATCAAATATTTTTGTATTATGTCCTCTAAGTTGCAACTGATCATTGTGACAACTAATTTTCTATACAGTAGGGATGGATGCCCAATCCTGTTCCAACAAGATCTACCTACATAAAGAGTTCAGTTCCAGCCCTGCTCCAACACACTAACTGTGTGTAACTATCAAGTGCTCATGAATATCTTAACTAGCTGGTCGAGGTGTGTTTGATCAGGGTTGGAGCTGCCCTTATCATGAAGTTAGAGGACAGGACTGGGCACCCCTGCCCTGTTAGTTTATTTTATACATACACTATCATTCAAAGTATATAGTGTTAGTCTATGAGTTTCTATTCACAAAGTAGTAATATATTTATTTATTTTTATTAATTACAGTAATAATACAATTATAACAATGGTATTTTAATATTATTTATAAGTAGTAATAAGCAGAATAAAATGTACAGTTAGTACACACAACCAAAACTGTGATCTTTCTACCTGATGAAAGAGCTGCTTTTTGTGATTGCAAATCATACTTCACTGGCCACTCAACAAAGGGAAGAGAAAAAAAGCTTTGTTGCATGCCTCGCTGAGTCAATCAGCATGGTCTGATAAGCACTCTCATCTATTGAGATCAGATGGAGAATTTCCAAGGCAAATATTTTCAACAGACACCTAAAGGCTGGTGCTCTTTATGCTAGCTGTTCGGAGGATTATATTTTTGAGTGAAGTTTAACCCATCAAAACCTGAAAACCCAAAGCACTCACACAAATCACACTGAAATGTGTGCCTGTGAAAATGTTATATTGTAGCAAAACATTTCAAGTTCAAAGCATTCATTTCACAATTTTCCTTTTTATTTCTTTGTTTTTAAAAAGCCTCTCACACCAATGCCGAGTATCAATTAAGAGGTTTGAAGACATGGTATCATATTTGACTGTGAAGATATTTCATGGGTTAGGTTTCATAAATTCATTTTTCTCCCTCTAATCTGGATTCTCAAGATCCTGCAATCCTCTATTTGAGCATAACTTAATTTTAAAAAAAGCAGGCCAACTCTGACAGAATGAGATTAATTTGAGATAGAATGCAAATTATCCTCCAGAAATGGTGGGGAAAGCACTGCATACAATGGCGGACTATCAAGCTTTTTCTTGAAAAGGTCGAAAAATGTGTTTCT